GAATCGTAACAGTAGCAGTTTCACACTCGATAGCTGAACTATCCGGTTCGGTTAAACGTTCAACAGGGCACGGGCATATCGCAGCGGTTGCTTGTCCGGTGCAAGGCGTTGCAGTTGCAGGTACAATTCCCGCGTGCATCAGGAAGGAGCAGCCAGAGAGACGGAGACGTATCCGTCTGTCTGTGTACGTATGACCCCCGTGGCTATCGCGTGCAGTAATAGCGGCGAATATAGTGTACCAGTCAAACGCACACCGTATTGATTTTAATACCACGCCAGGAAGGCACAGGGGACTAGGAAACGCGAAGAACAGGCGAAAATAACGCTGGCTAGTCCGCTATCCAGATGCATAGTGCTTTCAGTTTATTGTTAATTAAAATATTTCGAATGCACGTTATCAACTCAAGCATCCAGGAGGTTTAATTTAAACTATTTTTCAGAAATAAGATCAGAGAAATTATTTCTTAAAATCTAAGCAGCCCTTGGGAGGGGGTCAGAATATAAAAGAATATTTCTTTTTTAATTGATAGCTTAACGTCGAGTCGACAACAGGGTCATCAGCGACATAGATTATTATTCATAGATTCGTATTAGAATATTAAATGTTCGTAATCAAAAAGGAACGTCTCGAAATGTGTTTCATCGCGAAGAAGAATTTGTTTCCATCAAAGATAGAACCCATCGATGTTCTCGACGATATTCCGCGCGAAAGTAAAATATGACCCCCGAAAGAAAAGTTTGCTTATTACAATATTCGACCGTTCCGAGCGAGCAAGGGATTCCTTCGATATTTTTTCCTGTCATCAAAGTCAAGTTAGGTGCAGGAGAGCACCGTGTACGCGAGAGCGGAGTCTACCGTCGGTCATTTTGCGTTCGCGTTGCATCCATCGAGAAGGGTGCTCGAGGGGGTGAGAACCGGCGACAGGAGGACGCTACAAAGGCGCGCCGAAGGATGCCGATATATTCCCGAACGGGGGTAGGAGGGGGATGACGCTTTTACAACATCCATAAACGCCTCGTGTCGGCGAGACTGCGAGAAGGCACCTGTGGCTGATGCACGACGCGACGTCGGCCGCAAAGTCTGTCGCTTTGCGTACGCCAACGGCGCGTTAAGGATCTATGGAAATTTCTTGGCTCGTACAGCTCGGCCATTGGCCTCCAAGTAACGGAGAAAATTGTTCTGTATTCGAAACATCGTGTTAAAGGTACGAGCGGCGTGTTAACTCGATACGCGTATACGGAAAATGAGCCTGCTCGATTTTCAGTGAACACTGTTGGGAGGACTCGGTGAACGACGCTGTTCTTAAAATTACCAGCGTATAATTGCCCCCTTGAACGCCGTGTTAATTATCCGTGGTCGAATTACTTCTCACGGGGAACTGTTATGACAAGGCCTACTTTTCAGATCAGAGTTCGTTTGCCTAGTTTTTGAAAGACAATTCACTCAAAACAATCATTAAAGATAGACAGAGCCAACAATATGGCTATTTCAATTATTCCGTGGCCACTTCGCGCATGCTTCGAAGCAAACTGCGTAATCATTGCATATAGATCCACATCGTTATACCGAGAAAATCCCCCAAGACGTCTTTCGAATAAATCGTCTGCTTCGTAAATGGATTTAATTGCTCGTTGTACTCAAGAATTCAGAGTAGAGGTACGTGTGTTCGAAATTTCGACGAGTTTCAACTACTTGGACTTTGCAGCGTATTAGCATACGGCGTGCAGGTATTAAGCACCCCCACTCGACTAGCATTTAATATTCCGCGGAATCGTTGACTTTCTACGTTTGCGGTAAAATCTACAGTGCCTTCCCCGAGGATATTTTGAGAAAATTTGTGAAACAAACAGCAATCGATGTTTTTTTCTGATTTTGCCAAATTGCTCTTATCAAATCGTTTCTGAATGTGGGCTAACGAGTAGCGGGAAGTAGTGTGTCGGAGGGGAGGCACGTCGCGGTCGGAATTAATCCGATTTGCCGCGGGTGAGGGAAGTTGAAGTTGGAGAATTTAATGAGAATTAATCGAGTCCGGTGTATTAGACGATTGATGGAGACCCGGTGAGACAATATGGACGGCTGTTGAGCGCTTTAACTTCTAATGTTCCAGGTTGAGGACGTGAACGATGGTTGAAACGCAATTTCTGACGCCGTGGAAATTTATAGCGGGACGCGAAGAATTCGCTAATAGGGATTTAGCCTGAATGCTTCGAGTCGTGTCCGGAATATAATTAACGGTGGAAACTCGAGTTAGACGCGGAGGGGATGAGGTGGGAGGGGGAGGGGGGGGGGTCACTACGCGTTTGTAACAGCTCATTGGGTATGCGGACTGTTTTGTCCCATTTTCCGACCTACCTGCTACGATTTAGTAGGACATTTTTTCCCGACGTTAATTTGTGTTTTAGTTCCCGTCGGGAACAACAGCGAAGCGACGACAGTGGAAATATTTTTGTAGGGAGAAATGCTTGGAGGAAATGCAATTACTTGGCCGACTCTTTTTGATTCGTACGGTTTAATCGCTTCGCCGTACAATTACGCGCAGTTTCCGCCCAGTATTTTCGTATAAAATATAAACGCTTTTGTTCGCGAAACGAAGGCATCCGGCGCTTGACGAAGTATTGTTATAATCAAGCGAATCAATTTCAATGACCGTTCGTTTAGGCATTGTACGGTTCGCGAACAGTCGAAGGACAGCCAAACGCCTCGAAAACAGTCTTTTGCTCTTTGAACAGCTTTTTCGTAGTTGTAATTATCTGGGACGCGTTTTTCTTTGGAGTTTCGTGAGTTTGAAAAGCGTGGTTATTACAGGTAGGAACATTTCGCGAAATGTTTCAAGATTTTGCAAATACGTATATTTTATTAAAGGCGTTCGAACGCGGTACATTGTAAAATCTTCATACTCGGGTCCTTTATATTCTCCGTAACAAAATTGACACGGTGGAAGAAGGTAAAGTGCTTAAAATTGTGGCGACAGACCGTGGTCGAGTACCTTCTTTATGAAAATTGGTACACTCGTAAAAAATGTGAGATGTCTCGCGAAACATTGTGCTCTAATGCTTCATGCAGATGCATGCTGAAGAAAAATGCAACTTCGTTATAAAAATAAAATTATATTTCCATTCTTTTCGGGTGCATAGCTGAATTTATGAAAATTAGACGTTATCGTATTCATTGTACTCTTTCGTAGCTCTTATCAATTTCTAGATACAACCCGTTCCAATTATACACCCTGTACGATTCTAGCTTTCGTTTTTAGGAAATTGTACGTGAAAGAAACTTTGGTAAACGGTTTAATAATCGCGCCAGACGATTTCGCGGATATTTGAGGTCGACGGTAAGTAATTAGAAATAATTTCGCCGAATTATTTGCGAAAGGAATGGAACGGTAAACGAATGGTATCGATAAACTTCGAACGTAATTGATTGTAGCGATGACGCTTAATGTTTCCAGCTACATTCTACTCGATATTAAAATTGATCGTGGCATTGAACCGTGTGCCTCCCCCGTCTGTTCATGGCACAGTGTTCCACGTGATTGGGAAGCTTGATCAAATAACGTTCCGAACATTTTCCGTACATGTCCGAACAATGGTGCAGTTTAACTGGCAGCGTATGAATCCAACCGAACTCGGCACGTCGCGATGAGTACGCGATAAAACCAATGTCGACAACGTGTTTACAGTTTTATGGGGTGTTGGCTAAATGCAACGCGGTGTACAGACCTTAATAACTCTCGCGTGATACGGAAATAGAAATACGGCGGAGATTTACTGGTGTGCAAGTATTACGTTCTCTATAAACGGCGATCGCGCGTGCGAGAAATTTACATCCGTTCAGTTTAATTGAATCGTTTATTGTTCGAAGCATTTGGAAAGTATAGTTATTAGAACACCCGTTCCAATGGAGCTTTGCACAGTGTTCACCGAAGTGGCCAGAGGTTCACAGGGGAACGCCTTATCCTAGCCTCGAACGATGTTTCTTAACGCAGAGAAACATGGAAAACAATTAGAATGATTTTAAGTAATATATAAAATTTGTTAAAATTGACACTCGTTTCTTTCCATTAACCCTGGGAGCAGCACAATGTTTTTTCAGACAGCCACACCGGAGTTTTTCAAGTTTGTCCGCGAGCTGTGCAACCTCTGAATATGCAAAACAATTCTGTAAATATTCACCGAAATACTTTCAAGCATGCAGTTTAAGGATATGAAATTGAAATATTCAAAAGGAGTTGAAATACCTTTTTATTTGCAATTACCTTGCAGTGCAGTAAAAAAAGCAGTGTACAGAAAAATAGTATTTATGATATACAGTGAATAATGAAAGACGGTTTCATGAATTTATATTTACAACGTAAGGCTTTTCGAGAGGGAAGTGCCACTTACACGAAGTTTTAAACACCTCGATGAACAGAGACATTAACCAGATTTCTAGAATTCAATTTTTCTACAAGACGATTGTCACGCATGGGCAAATTTTATTCCACATTTTCCATGAATTTTTCTCCACTTTGTGTGCGACTATTGCATATTTTTCGCGGTCGTGTTTGCCACGAAATTCCTACTGGAAGCGTTAGAGAATAAAAATGTTGGAGAACTCTCGGCGTGTCTTTCCGTGTTAAGTCAAAAGGAACGACGCTTTTGGTGGTTCTTTTTTATTTCTGCTTGATGTTGAAACCGTTCCCGCGACCAAAATGCAACAGAAAAATATATAAATATACCTTACGTTGAGCTTACTCCGTGCTATTAAGTTTAAGCAGCTTCCAGTGCAGCGTCGGGGAGATATGATATTAATAGAGTGTACTAGTCTCCTGCACTTTAATCAACTAAAACTCGAATTTAGATGTACTGTCATTAACGTCTCGTAAGCGAGAAAATATTTTATATTTACTCACATTCGGGCATTGAAATATTTTATTTAAAGGCAAATATAATGGAAGTTTCGTTGCGTGTAATCGATTGGAAATGTTTTAAAATACATGTTTGGTGTTTTATGATTGCAGGTTCCAATTCGTTTGCGTCATCAAGAATTCTTTCTGAAACCCCAGTTCGAACTGCGTGGGTGCTTCGACTGTGTATGTGCAAGTCTGGTGATCCATAGGTGAGTTTTCTGATGCAAAATAATTTTTAATACTGGTTCAATTTAATTTTTATAATAGTAGTTCAATTTTGTATATCATAAATATCTCAAATACTTCGGACAAGTCCTAATATTTTCTCCAAAGAGGAAAGCATACAGTCTATTATGATCATTTAGATTTTTCATTATCTTTTCGATTTAGTAAGAAAAAATTTATTCGACAGAAAGATACAAATTTTAGGAATCATTTTTCCATTCATGGGTGAGTTTTTTGATGCAAAATAATTTTTAATACTAGTTCCATTTAATTTTTATAATAGTGGTTCAATTTTGTATAACGTAAATATCTCAAATACTTCAGATAAGTCTTAATATTTTTCCTCAAAGAGGAAAGTATACAGTCTATTATTATTTTTCATTATCTTTTCGATTTAGTAAGAAAAAGTTTATTCGACAAAAAGATACAAATTTTAGAAATCATTTGTCCATCCATAGGTGATTTTTTTGATGCAAAATAATTTTGAATAGTAGTTTAATTTAATTTTTATAATAGTAGTTCAACTTTGTATAACATAAATATCTCAAATACTTCAGATAAGTCTTAATATTTTTCCTCAAAGAGGAAAGTATACAGTCTATTATTATTTTTCATTATCTTTTCGATTTAGTAAGAAAAAGTTTATTCGACAAAAAGATACAAATTTTAGAAATCATTTGTCCATCCATAGGTGATTTTTTTGATGCAAAATAATTTTGAATAGTAGTTTAATTTAATTTTTATAATAGTAGTTCAACTTTGTATAACATAAATATCTCAAATACTTCAGATAAGTCTTAATATTTTTCCTCAAAGAGGAAAATATACAGTCTATTATTATTTTTCATTATCTTTTCGATTTAGTAAGAAAAAGTTTATTCGACAAAAAGATACAAATTTTAGAAATCATTTGTCCATCCATAGGTGATTTTTTTGATGCAAAATAATTTTGAATAGTAGTTTAATTTAATTTTTATAATAGTAGTTCAACTTTGTATAACATAAATATCTCAAATACTTCAGATAAGTCTTAATATTTTTCCTCAAAGAGGAAAGTATACAGTCTATCATTATTTTTCATTATCTTTTCGATTTAGTAAGAAAAAGTTTATTCGACAAAAAGATACAAATTTTAGGAATCATTTTTCCCTGATATTAGGGCACATAAATTAGCAATGTCAATTTGTTTTCTATTTAATATCTTTTGAATAATAATACTTGATTGTATTCGAACGAAGTGTTCGAACATTAAATTAATTAAATGGCCTCGATCGTAGTGCTAGGTCGTCAGAAACTAGGTTAAGGTCAGAGTGGAGAGTTACCGAAGAAAAGCGGAAACTGAAAGTGCGAAAACATCGTCGTGGTTTTACACCAGCCACTTGGGCATAATCAAGGGGCGGAAAAGTTGAGCGTTGCTGGCTAAAAGTGCTGCTTAAAATTCAAACGCGGGGCATATGTATACGAAGCGAGGAGCGTCCACTGATTCGTGAACGATGATCAGGGAAACGACGGAAGAGTTTAGGGACATAAAGGGGAGTTTATGTCCCGGGAACGCGGTTGTGTGCGACAGTAAACGCTTTATTACTGCATCAAAGGGAGCGTTTACGAAAACTGGTCGCGTTCGCGATATTTCGCACATCCTAACGCATTAATATCGTATGAAATATTCCGTTTATGCCTGCCCGTAACTGCAATTTATTTCGATAACATGCAGCCGCTTATTCACACACGATATACAATAGCATGTATTCATTATCGTACGTGCTCGTGCCGACAAAAATTAAGATTATAGTCGCATTTTCATTAGAAAACATATTTATTCACTTTCACCGTCTCGTAGAATAAAATTAAAGTAATGGTAATATTTTACACGCCTGTGAGTAAGTAGAGTATATCAGTGGAATCAATATTTGAAAAAATGTTAGTTTTATGAAAGGAAGTTGATATTTTTCTTATCGGTGAACGACGAATCCCTTAATTTTTATGCGGCGCGGGCAGAACTCGATTAAGATATAACAGTTTCATTTAAATATTCGTGGAAGATAAGAAAATACTCGGTATAATTTTTAACTTTTTTTTAACACTTATCTTTCGAGAGTAAACTAGTTATTTCAGGAATACTAGCTTCCACGCTAACGTGAAAATGCCTTGTTTCTTTAATAATTACCTATCAAAGTGTATTGAATTCTCTGTTTAGAAGTAAATCAAAGACTCGCTGGATTTCTACGCGACGAAACTAAGGTAACGAGCGATGTCGTGTAATGAATGTATACAAAACGGGGACAAATTGAAACTTTTTATGGGAAATTTAACTTTAGGGCCGGTAAGACAGGGGGAATTGCAATGGACAGGGAGGAGATCGAGTATTGGATTACGATAGAATGATTGCACTCTTAATTAAAAGGGGTGGCACAACCCCGTTCGCGTTTCCACCGAAGTGATTAACTTACTAAATCCGAGTTATATGCTCTTATTGTCGTACGGGTTCATAAAGCACGTGTACGTTGCTCTGTATTAACGCGTCGATCGAATCAATTCGCGCGGGTCGTAAATAATCGTGTCTTTGGTCCGTCACGTAGCGAATATTCGTCATTCGACCGCGATCGTGGACTACGAACGACAGGCACGGGAGGAAACCTAATTTCGAGCGCGACGATAAGTCTCCGTAAACGTAACACGAATTAATGCAACCAGAGTATTATTGTCTTAATACCCTTATTTATATTCATCTCTTGAGGGACAGGAGTTGCGGGACGCGAAACGAGCGGAAACAACCCTTTCTTCGTTGTTACCGTGAAAGGCATATGAGTTTTGGCTGAGCAAATGCGGAGGTACAACAGTTTTGGAGTTGAATCCTCTGTTATCTTATTTCGTACATAAACGATGTACATGGAATTATGGTTGTCGGTGCTGAAAATTCGGATGGTCTTTCGTCGGGGTCTCTAAATTAGTAACAAAGGTTCAAATCGCGGTGAAGCAGTACTCCAGATTCCAGGGACCGACGGGTTGGTAAATAAATTATACTTCGTTAGGAATATTTGATCCTCCGCTTCTGAGAGAAAATAATCTTCTCTAGTTAAATCCTTCTTTAAATTTTAAATAATAATACGTTAGTCCGTGTACAGTCGTCTGATATGGCAGCAACGATTTTCATAGCGTTCATCGTGTCCGAATTGTATCGAAAATAACGCGATAGGGAATGTCGCGAAAATTTAGTTGCAAAGTATCTGGTCCAGAGGTATGTTTCATCAGCGGTCGCAATTAACTACGGTGTGTCGCGTTGTTGGGTGGACGGGTACAAGGAAAAAGTCTGAGGGAGAACGTGAAACTGTAAAGGTTGTCAGGCCGTGGCGAAGTTGTCGCTATCAGCGAAAAGGGGTAAACGCTTCAGCCCAGTTGGCTAACGCGCCGAGAGAAATCGATGGTTAATGGACAAAGTTGACACCGTTGCAACATCCCGAAACTGCTTCGGGAAACTACCGACATTCGTTTCACTTAGGCTGCTTTGCTCGGTTCTCCCTCCCTTCCACCCCCTACGCCAACCCCCTGTTTCCACGTTTCTCTGTATTATCCGATACACTCGCCGGCTCATTCGTTGAACCGTCGACTTTCGGTGACTCTGTCGTTGAATGGGGAAGAACGAAGTGGAGAGTTCACGGTTGTATAGATTTTTTGGTACTGTTTAATGGGTATTGGACGGCGGTTAAAAGCTTTTAACGGGATCATGGATTGTTAAAATTGACAACGAGCAGGCAAACTGAATTTACGCCGATGGTGGGCTCGGGGACGCTTCATATTCGCGAGAGAGTTACGCGTTGTGAAATATATTTCGTATTATTACTATTTTGCGAGGGAAGGGTTGGGAAACGTACGCTTTAAATTCAATCTTTTTCTTTTCTTATCTCAAAATTAATTTGCATGACTTATATTTACAATAAACTGGGCTACAAAGCAAAGTAATACAAATATTTTTCACAAAATTGTCTACAAGAGATAAATTTTTTGATGGTTGTTCAGAGTATCGTAAGAAGATCATATCGCCAGAAATTTGTGGGTTGTTTAAAAAAATCGCTTAATCGGCGCAATTTGCAGCGTTCGAGGGGCAAATTGATCGAACTAGGCGAATTCCAGCGCGCCCTGTTTCGTTCCCCGGCTGCAGCTTTAAATTGTCGATTTGAAGACGGGGAAGGGCCGGGGCGATCCAGAAAAGGGCGGACACGGAGGAAAGCAATCAAGAGTCAGTAAAATTTCGGGAAACGGACCCCTTAACGACAAACCAATATTGATGAGTAAAACGGTTCCAACCATCATCAAGCCGTTAGATTAACGTCCGCGGACCTGGGACTTCATATTACGTTTCCGGGGTTGTTTGTTTCCTCCCGCGACTCTCGTTTCCGACGATGCACTGCTTGTCGAGAGCTTTCGCGCGGCGATTTGTCGCAGCTAAATGCAATTGTCCCCTTATTTCTTCGATAATTGCGAAATCGGCTGATGAAACTGGCTGTACAGGTCTCGAATTACCCTCCTCGATTCTGTTGGCGCACAGCCCCGAATGGGCAAAGAGGGAAAATTATTAATCATCCACCGGACGTGTGTGGAATGCTGAAACGGCAACGCGACGAACAGTTTTACATTGGAAACCAAAGTCGAATCAAACACTTTTATTTAACCCTTGAATCCTGGGCCACTGATCGAAAAATAGTGCTCACCGTTATTGTTTGCTTTAATCTCAGAGAAGGATGGCAAAAATCAGCATAAATTCGTCGCAAAAATATTCGGGACACTCAATTGTATTCTAGTTAAATTTTATGAATGGTTCATTCAAAATTTAATCAAATCGTAAGATGAAACATTAAAGAAGATTTCTACAGAAAACTGTCTGACTATGTACGGAGATGTATCACTTATTTTTGTCGTACGAACGTGTTTTGTTTACGAATATCAAACTTACGCGTTGCAATTGCATAAAAATGATCGATTGCTA